AATTAGCTATACTGAGAAAGTCAGGCTGGCATGCCGCCAAGGCTGTTAGAGATTCTCTCTAACAATTAAGGAATGTTAATTGTTTTATGGGACCCATCTCTATCTTTTAGTCTTTGCAGGGGGATCCCAACCACTACACTTGCTGTCTCCTTGGAAGAGACGGAAAAACTCCCTTTATTACACACAGACGAGCAAGGACTGATAAAATATCTCTTGGGGATGGTACCGAGTTAACTTGTCGGCCTTAACAAACAGATCCCTAGGAAGTATCCCAGGGGACAATGGTATGCAAGATAACGACTTTTCATCTACACTAACTTTAAGCTAACTCAGAGGGAAAATAGAATTTCTGAGCTCAACTCAAGGACACAGAAAGGTGGCTTTAGGCAGGTGCAGACTCAATTATAAAATTAATACGGCGTAAAAATCAATTACATTGTAGAATCGATACAATAGAAATCCATACAGTGGAAACTAGAAGTAATATTAATTTTTGTCTTAAAATGTAAAGTATCTGAAGGAGAGAAAATATCAGAGTTTTGGAAAAAATCTAGGACCTTATTAATAATTAAAAAAAAAACCACCCCTAAAACCAGAGAGAGAGAGACCTTGAAAAAGGGAAGGGAATAAGTATATGGGCCAGGAACTATGCTAATAATTATCTCATTTAGTCCTCTCAACAACCCTTTGAGGTAGCTGCTATTTTTATCCCCACTTTATCATTGAGGAAACTGAGGCAAACCAAGGTGATGTGATTTGCTTACAGTCACACAGCTGCTGAGTGTCTGAAGCTGAATTTGAACTGGGGTCTTCCTGCTTTCAGGCCTGGCAGTCCATCTACTTCACCACCAATAGCCTCTAAACACTGGGAACACCAGTGACTACTGACCTATGTGCCCACCCTCCGATCTATTCACAATCTTTAGGAGTCTTCTCCATCTACACTAGGATGGAGGATCTTGGATGAGGGCATCTAAGGCAGGAGCAGGCTTTTGAAAGCAATGGTTAGCATGGCTTTGTCCAGGACAGGTCATGCCAGTGTAGACTCATTTCTGAGGACGAATGTTGTGGATAGAGTTTACCTAGACTTTAGCAAAGGTTTTGATGAATTATCTCATGCTTTTTAAAAATTTTTTAATTTTTTTATTTTTTAGGCAATTGGGGTTAAGTGACTTGCCCAGGGTCACACAGCTAGTAAGTGTCAAGTGTTCCGTCTGAGGCTGGATTTGAACTCAGCTTCTCCTGATTTCAGGGCCGGTGCTCTGTCCACTGCGCCACCTAGCTTCCCCTTCTCATGCTCTTTTTTGTGGAAAAGATAAAGACATGAATTAGAGGGTAGTACAATCAGATAGATGCAGAATTGGTTAGACTGGCCAGACTCCAAGTGCTGCTGTGAATGGTTTGGCATCAGTGTGGTAGGAGGTCTCCAGGGGAGAACCAAGGGATCTGTGCTCGATCCTGTGCTGTTTGACATTTTTATCAGTGACACAGATAAAAGGATAGGAAAGTACGCTCACCAAATCTGAAGATGATTCAAAGTTGGAAGGAAGAGCTAAGACACTGGATGAGAGAGGGTCGGGATCCACCCAAAAAGATCTTGAGAAGCTAGAACACAAGGCTGAATCTAATAAGATGAAATTCAACTGAGATAAATGTAAATTCTTGTATTTAGGTAAGGAAAAATTAGCTTTACAAGCACGAGATGGGGAGACCTGGGTGGATAGCATGTGTTCTGAAAAAGGATCTGTGTAGTGGACTGCAATTTCAGTTATCCCTTCCACATTGCAACTTTCCCCACTGTGGTTTTGATATATCTCAGGTTGGCATAAGAAATTAAATGGCGGTTTTTGGGGAGTTTTGCGGAAGCCGCAGACGACACATGAAGGCCAGCAGATGACACAGAACCTATGACCAAATACTTAACCCAAATTTGGCAATAAGATACCGTAAACATCACATACAAGAAGAGAGAAAAGTGAGACTTCTTCTCTGGTGCAAAGGGAGGGCCAAACCATTTTATGTAGATTCTCCAGATCGTGGGGGCACCATGCCCCCAGCCCCTCCACGTGGAAGGGATTACTGTACAAGCTCAAGGTGAGTCGGCACTGAGATGTGGCAGCCAACAGGAGGAAATCCACGTGGATCTGCATTACGGGGAACCCTCTCTCCTGCCAAGAAACATGGTTAAGCAAAACAACTGCCTCTACCATGCTGCGCCTCTCTCCTGAGAGAGGATCCACGAGATTGAAAGCTGGGGAAGAGGATGTCTCCCTCTGCATCCTTTCTGACCCTGTGGCAGCATCTGACATTATCACCCTCTCCTTCCAGATGCTCCCCCCCCTCTTGGTTTTCATATCACTGTTTGCTCAAGGTTCTTCTCAGTCTCTTTTACTGGATTATCGAGTCCGACCCTCTCATATTGATAAGGAAGCTGAGACCCAGAAAATGAAGGGACTCTTGATATCACACAGATGATAATCAGGAACCGTTCTGGAGTTCAGACCCAGGTCTTCTGACAGCGCAATCCAAGGCTCTTGTCTTGACACCATGCTGATGCAAAATTGTAGAAGACTTCCTGTGCTTGGCCCAGGAGACTGCAGGGAGCCACTGAAGATTTCTGAATAGAAGAGTGACAAGACGGAGCCAGGCAAAAGGAAGATTCATTGTCAGCAGCATCAGGATTTGTTGGTTTGGGAGGTCAGGTTAGGGCAATGATCTGTGCAGGGGGTAGCGAGGGCCTGTCCAGGGCAGTAGCAGTGGGAATAAAGAGGAGGGGCTAAGTGTTAAAGATAGGAGGTAGGTAGACTAGATATGGCTGGGTGATCTATTGGATATGAGAGGAAAAAGTCAAAGATCTCAAGGTTTGAACACGGCTGGATGACCAAGATGCTTTGTAACAGAAGTGGAATGGGACTTGCATAATTATACAAATTAGAATCACACAATCCCTGAAAAACTGGAAGTTATTTGTAGACTTGTGAATGCTTATGGAAGGAATAATTACCACTGGACTGCCTGGTTAATCAATGAGCCTTTCTTGCCTACCTCCTATGTGCCAGGCACTATGCTAAGAGCTGTCTGTGTTTGCTGCCTCTACTTCTCCTAGTCTTCAATCCTTTGTCATCTGGCTTCTCAACTCTTCAGCCAACTGAGACTACTCCCTCCAAAGTCACCGATGATCTCTTCAGAGATGGCAGGATTAATCCTCACCCTTCTTGACCTCTCTGAAGCATCTGACACAGTTGACCACATACATTTTTTACATTCTCCCAGGGACTTCTTAGACCCAGGCCTCTCCTCCCCTCCCACACATGGCCCTCCACAAGGGGTGTCTCTTCTCAGGGCCCTTCTGCTTGTGTGGTTCTCCTCCTCCCCATCTGATCGGTCCTTCTGAGGCCCCTTTCAGGGGTTATCATTCATATCACAACCATTTCCCACCAGCACTTGTCTGAGGCTGAGTCAAGGAGGCAGAAAGTAAAAACAAGGCAAATCTTACTAATTACAAACACTCAGCAGGACATAGACAGATGGGGCCAGCACGTTCCTATACCGGGGGGACAAATGGAGATCAATGATAAAGGCCATATGGGAATAAAAAATCCATCAGGTCCATAAAGCGACAGGCCTTCCTGATACTGGTTTATGCAGGATTCAGCAGTGCCTTTGCCCCCTGAGTTCCAGGTCTCCATGACAAAGGACTCCTCTGTACCCAAGGTCAGGCCACACTTCCCTGGGATTGGGACCATAGTTTACGGTCAAGGACTCAGACCCTGGTTTGGGGCACTAAGAATGAACACCCCAAGGAAACAATACCTAAGTGCCCACTAAACTGAGGGAAAAGACCATGACCACGAGCACTTCCTGCCCCCCCCCCCAGTCAGGCCAACAGAAGACAGCTGGAGGTGGGGAGGAGGAAACAGACAGCAGGGCTGACCAGAGGTCCTGACCGGCCAGGCCGTGGGGGGTGACCAGAGGGCGTGGGTGACCGGAGTGGGGCGGGGTGGGTGACCAGATGGCTGGGATGACCCGGCTGGCAAGAGTGGCCGGAGGGGGTCGGGGCGTGGTGACCGGACGGCGGGGGTGACCAGCCAAGCAGCTGCATAGCAGCCTGTCAGCAGGTCTTTCTGGGGTGTGCCTCGCTCCCTCTCCCGGATTCTTACCCACACACTGGACAGAAGATGAAGGAGGCAAAGCCTCCTCCTGACCTTTGGGTCTGAACTCGAGGTGGCACTCCACACTAGGTGTCTATACTGCCTCCCCTTCCACTCTGCCTTCAGACCTCGTCTTTCCTCCAAAGTTCATAACGACCTCTTAAGTGCCCAACCACAGAATGGGAAGCGGTGGAGGCGGGGCGCCGGGCAGGGGAGCGGGGGAGCCTTGCTCGGCCCCCAGGGCTTTGGAGTCCTGCAGCTCCCCTTCAAAGAGAGGCACTCTAGAGGGACGGGATGGGAAGCGGTTGCCCAAGGCCGCTGCACCCCCACTCTTGTGCCCCACCTGCCTTCCCTGGGCACTGCTTGGAGCAGCCCACATCACCTGAGGCGGCTCAGCCTCAGTTGTCCCCGGGCAGCTCCCAGAGAGTGCCAGCCTGCACTGGTGGAGGCCCTTTCCTGTCCTGGGAGTTTCTCCTGGCAATGAAATCCCAGGTCCGTCCCTGTCCTGCCCCATTATGTCACTGAAAAGGGACCAAGCCATATTTCAGACACAATAAAGAAACTGCTATTTAAAGGAACGTGGATGACTCCTAAAGTGAAAATTCCTTTGTAATGCAAATGATCACCCTCTAATTTATGTCTTATCTTTTTGACTCTGAAAATTAGATTTTCTGACAACTGCAGAGATATCCGCAGTGTTCTGAGTTAAAGGAGATTGTCAGTGACGCAAGGGGCTTACAAAAAGTCTGCTACCTTTACTTTCACTGAAATCCCCTTAAAAGCCCTCAAGTAGAGGCAAATGACCTTTGGGCACCAGTATGGATGGCAAGAGCCGGGGCAGAAACTTACAGCTACTTGAAGATTGTCTGTTCTGTCAATAAGTATATTCCGTTTTTCTTCTCTTTTCAACATTTTGTCAATGTTCTGTGACATTGAATTTTTGACATCAGTCACTTGACTTTTCAGATCGGAAATCATAAATTCACCTTGACTTTGATTGTGCTTCATCTGTAGGAAAAGGAAGAGTGCATTAGATTTATTTTGTACAAAGATCATTCATTAAAGTACCACTTATGCATTAAAGCACAGGTGCAGAAAGCTCGTCTCAGGTGAGTAAGACATTCCCACGGTGCCAGGGTGCCAGCAAACATTCAATCCCAAACAAGTGCAAAAGGTATTGGACTGACTTGTCCCCACCCCCAACCTCTAAAAGGTATTGCCCTTAGGTGTTTCTGTAACTGGGGATCAATCACAGCATATCCAATAAATGTTGGCTCAAGTTTGTATAAGTAAACTATCCTTGTCTTTGTGTAGGTGACATTAAGGCTGACTCTGAGGGGTATTCATTATGTTAGACCACTGGTCTTCAAAGTGGAAGCTGAGGGAGAAGCCCCAAGGGGGCTGGAACTTGACCCTATTGATGGGGAAGATGGGTTGCATTCCTCCCCCTCCTTCGATGAACAATTCAAGGTTTGTTTCCAACATGTCCTCTCTTCTGCATTCTTCCATCCCTGTACCTTTCTCTCTCTCTCTTTTTCTTTCTTTCGCAAGGCAATTGGGGTTAAATGACTTGCCCAGAGTCACACAGCTAGTGAGTGTTATGTGTCTGAGGCTGGATTTGAACTCAGGTCCTCCAGACTCCAGGGCAGGTGCTCTATCCACTGCGCCACCTAGCTGCCCCTATCCCTGCACCTTTCCATGGATGGCCTTCTCTGTCTGTGGGCACTTCAGGGTAAGAAGGAGGTAACCCAATTCTACTCAGGTGGTAGCTAAGCAGGCATTTGCACAGGCCAATTTCCACCTCCTTGGACCCAGCCTGTCCCCAGGGCATGATAATGTTGGGTTCTAGGCTTCAGGCAGTGGCCAGTTCACACTATCTATTCCTTCCCCACATCCATCCATCCATCCATCCATCCATGCATCCATCCACACCCCTCCTTCCCCTTTTTTTTTCAGAGGCAGCTGGTGGAGCAGTGAATAGAACACTAGGCCTGCAGTCAGGAAGACCTGAGTTTAAATCTTCAAATCTGGCTTCAGATACTTATTAGCTACGTGACCCTGGGCAAGTCACAGAGACTGGCACATAGTAAGCACTATATAAAAGTTTCTTTTTTTCCCTTCCCTTCCCTTCTCTTTCCTCTGGGAAACAGAGACTAGCACTGTATACAATACAGTATACAAGCATGTATTGATTACAATAACATTATCTTTTCCCCAAACCCACACATGACAGAAATGATTATTTCTCTTGTTAGTAACCAATTATTAACTGAGATTAAGGTTTTCCCTTTTTATTTCCTCATTCAGAAATATGCTCCTGTAGGATATTTAGCCAGTCTCTGAAAGGACATTGCTGATAGATGAGATTGCCCAAATCTTTGGGGTACATGCTTAGACCATCTTGGGTGGGACCTCTCCCGACTAGAAAACCTTACCAAGAGAATCTAATCTAGGGGAAATCCAACTTGCATGCCACTCTGTCAGGCTTGGGTAGAGGTAGGTCCCTTTGTCTAGACTGCCTGAGGCAGGGTGGTCTGGGTAGAGATAAGAGTGACATCATCAGTCATGTCCCCCAACCCCTTATTAGACTATCCCCACCTGTCATTATAATTTTCCTTCTCTCACTAATTGTTAACCAATCAGAGTTGATTTCTGACTGTTGGGAACACCCATTCTTCCAAGGGCATATAAGCATTGAGAGGCTTCCATGATTCTTCTTTGGTTTAGGAGAGAAAGCTAAGTGACCATGTTATTAATTATCTGCTAGCCATAATTAATAAAATTACTAATTACCCAGAAACTCTCTCAAACTTTTCATACATATTTCACATGTTTTCCTTTTAATTTTATTTGCATTCATTTTGCTTATGCAAAAGCTTTTCAATTTTATGTAACCAAATTTAGCCATTTTATATACTATGACCTTTATTCATCTGTAATTGTGAAAAGTATTTCCTCTGTTCTTCTAATTTGTTTGTGATATGACCTTTTCATATTTAGGTATATGGCGTGATATATTGGCCTAACTCTAATTTTTGCCAGATTGCTTTTTCAGTTTTCTCAGGAGATTTGTTAAAGAGTGAATCTCTGGCTACATTTTGATTTTTCTACTGATTGATGTTTCTATTTTTAAAGTAGCTCCAAAGAATTTTGACATTTTTTTTTTAGCAAAGTTTGAGATTTGGCATTGCTAGGTCTCCTTCCTTCTTTTTTTCATAATTTTCCTTTATATTTTTGTCCTTTTGTTCCTCCAAGTAAATTTATTATTTTTTGAGCTCTACAAAATAGCCTTTTGGTAGTTTGATTGATATGGCGCTTAATAATTGAATTAGTTAAAAATGTCATTTTTATTATATTGGCTCAGTCTATCCATGAGCAATTTGTGCTTCTCTAATTATTTAGATCTGTTTCTGTTTCTGTAAAGAGTGTTTTGTAGTTCTATTTATACAGTTCCTATGCATGCCTCAAATATCACATCTATTATGCCATTATTTTGAATGGAATTTATCTCCTCCTGCTAGGTCTTGTTGGTAATATATACAAAAGCTAATGATTTGTGTGAGTATATTTTATATTTGGCTACTTTGCAAAAGTCATTAATTTTCCCAAGTTTTTCACTTGCATCTCTAGTACTCTAAGTTAACCAACATATGATTTGGAAAAAGTAATAATTAAGCCATCTACAATCAGAACCTCTGAGTCTTATCTTCTCACTCTCTTCTTAACTCTTTGCAAGCTGGCTTCTGACCTTATCAGTCAATTAAAACTACTCTCACCACTGCCCTATCTAATGGCCTTTCCTCAGTCCTCCTTCTTCTTGACCTCTCTGTAGCCGCTGAATCGTTCTCTTCTCCTTGATAATTTTTTTGGGGGGGGTGAGGCAATGGGGGTTAAGTGACTTGCCCAGGGTCACACAGCTAGTGAGTGTTATGTGGTCTGAGGCTGGATTTGCTAATCTCTTGATAATGGCTTTTCATGACTCTGCTCTCTCCTTGTTCTCCTCTAGTCTTGGCTGGAGTTTCACAGGTCTTTTCCACTGAACGTGGGGGTACACAAGACTGTGTCCCGGCCCTCTTCTTTTCTCCATCCATACTCTTTCCTTTAGTGATTTTATCAGCAACTGACTTCAATGACTGTCTCTGTACAGATGACTCTAAGTTCTCTTTGTTCAGTTTCCACCTCTCTCTTGACCTCCAGCCTCACATCTCCAAATGCCTGTTACACAACTCGACCCAGATGTCTGGTAGCACGTCCAGGACACCCCTTATCTTCCCAGTCACACAGGCTCAACACTCAGGCATCACCCTCAACCCCTCATACCCACTCTGTTGCAGATCCTGCTGCGTCTCCTTTCAGAACATCTCTTGCACGGGTCCCCTTCTCTCTTCTGACTCTGCCCCCAGTACACGTCTCTGTCCTCTCACACTCGGACCACTGCACTGGCCTGCTTGGTGGTATCCCTGTCTCAAGCCTCTTCCCCACTTTAATCCATCCTCAAATCAGCTGTCAAATCGATCCTCCTAGAAGACCCTACCCTCCCATTCGATCAATTTCAGGGGCTCCCTCTCACCTCTACCATCCAATATCAAATCTCGTTTGGCTTCTGAAGCCCTTCATCGCCTGGCCCCTTCCCACCTTTCCAGGGTCGTACCTCTTTCTCGCCTCCACGCGCTCTGTGACCGGCGCTCTTTCTTGCTCTTCACAGACAGCACCCGCAGCACTTTCACTGACTGTCACTCCTGCCACGGAGCGGGGACATGTGGCCGCTTAGCCACTGCGGCTCAGAACTCCCAAGCTGTGAGAGACTCCCCAGCCTCAAACTCCCCAGCAGGAGGGATCCTGGCTGGCTAGCTTCTTTAAATTCACTCTTTTGGTCCTGTTCATCCGGGCGTTTTTACATTTTTAAACTATTCATTAATTTCACTTGGGTTATGAGTTGTGTTGGGTAGAATTGGACGAGATCATTTCTGGTACTTTCCTTGATTTTATTTTCAGTGGCGAATTCCTTTTCATGTTGGGCATTGGCAGCTTGGTTTTTCTCTCTCTTTAATCAGATTAGCCAATGGTTTCCCTATTTTATTAGTTATTAAGAAGATCACCTTCTTTCAATTTTGTTGATCTTCCTTTTTGTCTCAGCCAAAGTCCTACTTTCTGGAAGAAGCCTTCCCTCTGAGATTGCTCCAATTTATTCCATCTAGATCTTGTTTGTACCCCCTCATTTGCATGTAGTCCCCTCCATTAGACCATGAGCTGCTGGAGAGCAGAGACAGGTTTGGTTTTTGTTGGTTTTTTTGGCTTTCTTTGTATTCCTGGTGTTTCTCACGGTGCTTCATAAGTGCTTCTTGATTTGACTTGACTCTTGGTGCTTATTGCTCCAGTTTCTTTTACTGGCTTTATAGCTGCGGCAAGCACTCTTGGCCTATATACGATGATAATGGTGACGATGGATGTCCTTGCTTGTTTCTGATCTTGTTGGAAAGGTCTCTAGTGATTTCCCTTCCCATTACAGATGATGCAGGTCTTGGTTTTACATAAATCCTGGTTGCTGTGTGTCCTTTGTTCTTGAAGAGGACCGTAACATCAGGCAGATGATGCCATGACTTGCAGGTGAATTGGATTTAAGTGAGGCAGTGCTGTGCAAAGTCACCAGCCTCGCTGTCTCCTCTGGAGCCATCTGGGTCCAGTGGCCAGATACAGATCAGGATGACTGGAGATGGCCCAGGATGCAGTGGGAGACGCTGGCCTTTTGAAGCTTTTAACAGGTTTGACTGAGGCAATGCCCATTCAGTGATTAAGGCTAGGTAAGAAATGAGGCAAAGAATGGCCTCTTTACCGAGTAAGAAAAAAAAAAAACAACAAACAACCAACCGATCTGGGAGGGGAAGACGCTTGGGCTTTCTAGGGCATGTGGTCTTCTATCATGTGATTGATTCCTTTTGTTAAGTCTATACCTTAGAGTAAAAACTGCACACAGCCAGTATACTTCTCTCTGGAGCTGAGCCATGATG